ATATCTTACTTACAAGAATTTAAACTTGACAATTCATCATCTTTTACTAATAGTGACTATTAAAACTTAATATTAATATAGACATTCTTATTTGTTATAATCAAGATTAGACACAAAAGCAAAAGCAAATAATGAATATTTAATTACAAAGTTATATTCAAAGAAGATTGAAACAACTTTACAGACTAAGTAAATTCTAATATAATACAACACCAAATTTTAACTGTAGCAAATATAGCAGAAAGCTTAAAAAAACATGATACAAAATACATATTAGTATTATTATTTATTTATTTTTTTTTTATAATTAAAGTCTCTATTTTGAAGATGCAATATTTTATTCAAGTTTTGTTAAAAAATAGGTGACTTCAAGGGCTCCCTTACATTGAAGGTTACAACTAGCCACATGTGCACTTTTGATGCCTAATTTAAGTAGTCTGCTTATATATTGCTATATAAGTTTTACACTAGTTGTTATATCTGCAAACTGACTAGAAGTCTTGTCTATTTAAACTTTTTGCATATGCAATCCTTCTTGTATCATGAGAACATCTTAAGACTACACCCATTCAAGTTCCCGATGCTTATCATTATCCTTAGGACTATTTTATCCTTGATAAAAAACTTACTAGAGCCTTTATATCTTACATATATAGACCTAGTTTTATGCAACATGCTATAGTTATCTAACACTTGCAGTCACAGGAGTTATCTGTTTAACTACTACATTATACTATTTCTATTCTATCTTTCTGGGATCTTCTCTATCATTTTCTACTAGCTGCAACTTAGAACCATTGGTCTCATTCCAGACTACCAATCTAAATGGCTCAGTATGATATACTTATATATTCTTTTTCTTCAGTGAAACTGGCAGCCTGGTTGGTTATATGCTTCTCTATATATATTTAACATCCAGTTTTAATCTTTGGTTTCTATAAAGGTGTTTCGTAGGCTTCAACCAGTTCAATAATACTGTCAAAAGTTCATGCTATCTTTTTACTTAGGAATTTCCAAGTAGGTTTCTGTTACCTCAGTTCCTTAGTCTTTTATGCCTAATAGTCTTATCATAGGTTTGTACTGAAGTCTTATGCAGCATCAGTTAACATTCCTCTATATATGTGTAATATTACACTTCGCATAGATGCCTAAGCTTTCAATGTCGAGAGAACCTGACTTGATGTATCTGGGTAACAGCTATATAAGGCCAACTGATTGACAGAAGACAGTTACTATAATGCAAATATAATTTCCAAATTTCATCATAAGTAGGATTTGAACCTTAGACCTACCACTTGGAGAATGACAACCCAACTACTATACTAGAATTACCATTCTCACATATTAGTATTATTAATGCTGCATTTTAACATATTTCTAACAAAAAATATATTATTAGAAATTTTCATTATATATTTATATCAAAAGCAATCCAACTAGACCTGCAGGTCAATAGCAAAGTAGTTATACTTCTAGGTTGCCAATTGCAAGATTGCTGGTTCAAGTCAAATGAGAAACAAAAACTAAGCTAGAATCATGATTGTTGATTAATTACATTTGATAACATACTACAAAAATAATAAGATTTTTGGTACCCAAATTCTTAAATGATAACAGACCTAATATAAAAAGACTATAATAATTAGAGAGCTAAAGATAATAATAGAACAAAGGAATTCCTAATTAGGAATAATTTTGGTAAAATTCTGAATAATAAGAACACAAAATCAATATATAAATAATACTGTAAAAATGTATATAAATAAATATAAAAAAAAATATAAAATATAAGTAAGGTTCTAATAGAAGGTTCTGTAAACTTAAAAAATTTGAACTAATAAAACAGCTGCCAGTTGCAGCCTACTAGTGACTATGCAGAAGGAAATTTTTTTTAAAAAAAAGCAACCCAACTACATTATGATTTTTAAACTATAGATTATATAATATATTATATCAAAAAATATTTTTCTTACCAAATACTATTATCTACTAATATTCAAAACTTAATTAATTACATCAACAATGCTTATAACTTTACTATTGAACACAACCTAACTATGTGAATACAATATATAAAAACTTTCTAAAAAACACTTTATAATGCCAAAAACTTAGAGAATGCCAAGTATCTTAGAAACTATATTAACTTAGCTACTAACAAATAATGTAAACATCTAACTATCCAATCAACCAAAATAATTAATAGCATATTAAACTAATACACTAACACAGTACATCTTCAAAATATTAAAGCTAACAATAACATAATTACTAACTTTATAGAGATTAAACAACATATTAGCAAGCATTATAATGAATGAACGGCTTATCATCTACTTGATAAAGATATTTTTAATTACAATTAAAAAGATATCTACCAATCTAATAATAGTATTAATAGGGAATAATATATTTTCATACTTTAAAAAATTACTATTGAAAAATTATAAGCATTATACAACAACTACCTAATAACAAGACCTGTGGCTTAACAAAAATCAGTTATAAAATAATTAAACATCTAGGTACTAATATGCTATCTGCACTTATAGCATTTTTTAACAAATGTTTAATTATACTAAACATTTCAAAACAATGAAAATATAGCAAAATATACTCTATTTTAAAAAAATCAAAGTTTGATGAAAATCTTAACAATATATGACCTATTAGTTTAATTAAATATACAAAAAAACTATATATACTAATAGATTATTCTATGTTCTAACAAAATTATGTACCTACTCGAACATAATATGGACATCTTAGTCTAAATGTAGATTCAGGCTAGGATGTTCTTAAAAAGGCAGGGGGATTGCTCACGGTTGGAAACAGAACAAAGGAAAACCTGCAGCATGGTGTAACAGTAGTGGAAACGTTGGTCAATGGCTAGAAGAGGATGTGTACTCATCCCCAAAATAGAGTTCCATCTATATCATAAAAGGGAGTACTTAAGAGGCAGGTTAGATGCACAATCCATTGGAAATGACACTAAGACCAAGAAGGATTGCAAACCAGCAGTGGCAGCAGGAACCTGGCTTGAGATACATGCTACCAGTACCTGAATTGGGAAGTTAGCAGTGGCAGCAGAAACCTGGCTTGAGATACGTGCTAGAGAGGCACCCTTTGGGCAAACCAAAGATGATAGCTCAAAAGGAGCGAACGACCTGGTAGACCAATTTGGAAGTTGTAAAAATAGGTTGTGAGACATGAGAGAAATATGTAGGTTACCTAATATAATTAGTAGTGAAACAAAAATCCAGGTTAGGTGTAAGTGGGACACAATACAAAACTCTAGTAGGTTTAGGTTGCAGATAAATATGTCTGAGTCCTATGTCTGAATAGATATATAGTGATAGATGATGTATAATAGATTTGTACTAGCTATAACAAGTATACTAATAAAGACTAAAGAGCATGACCTCACCTTAATACCGAAAAAAAAAAACAAAACTATGTCACACTCTTTGGCAATTTACTCAACAATCTAATTAATATATTTTATAATTTTCTTAAAAATACCAAATGTATTAAAAAACTTATTTGGATTCTATTTTAGAATATAAGTAAAGTCTATAATTCTGTCAATATAAACTTGTTAACTAAAGCTCTTAAGCAACTTAACATGTCTTACTAATTAATTAACATACTTACTAATCTTTTATACAATTGATTTAACTAAATTACTACTAATCTTGAACTTATATTTTTATATAAGATACAAGATAGTATAAATCAAGATGAAACTATAACTTTTTTTCTTTGGTAACTTTATTATAATTCTTTAATAAGTTATATATATAAAACATATACTGGCTATACTACTATCACCAAATAGCTTACTTAAATTTATCCTAGTAGATATCAATTTGCTACTGCTTCTACATCTGTATTTGCATATATAGATATTACATTTTGGCTCGCAAATTCAATAGAACAATTTCAAGAAATTGTCTAAATAGCTGCATCCTTTTATAAAATTGCTTATATAAAAGTTAATCCACATAAATCTTTTTTAATTTCAAATATCAAATCTACTATATACATTAATTTCATGAACCAATTGATTCAAGCACAACTAATCAACACTTCTTTTAAATTTCTAAATTGCTGGTTTATAGCTACTCTACAATATGCAACTTAAATCAAATTAATATAATAAAAAACACTTAGACTTAATAATATACTTAAACTAAAAATATTACAGACAAACAAGCTGCATATATTATCAATACTATAATTATTCCAATCTTAAAGCATCATATATACAATATAGTATTATTATATACAATATGCAACCAAATTACATCACAATATCTTATTACAGCTAAACACAAAACTAAACTATTAATATCTAAACCAAATAGTACACTACTCAATTATAATATATATGATATACAAGTATAACATCATATATTGAAATTTCAACTTCATATTAATGACTTAAGTTTAATAGCTATTAGTATTCATATTTGATATTAACAACTACAAAACAATCTATAGTTAACAACTAATGTCTTACAACATTCTTATCTATATATAGATAAATCTAACAAAAATACAACTACTTATAAAATAATATAACTGCTTAATAAACTTCAGCAAACTTTCTAACATTAGGAAATTTTATATAGGAATATATAGCGATTGGTAACCTATTAGATATATATCAATACTAATCACCCCTGCTGAGTTATATCGATTTTGGTATAAACCGATATATAACCAGCTTTAAACAATTGATATATATCTAATAAGGTTATTAATTGATATATAACCAGTTTAATCAAATACTTTTTTTAAAAGACGATATCACTAATAAGATATTTATAAAACATATTATTTATAAAGCCAATTACAATACATAATATAAATTTATTACTGTTACTAAAACTGTATAATCATATTATAACACAAATAATAAAATTTATTATAATTTATTATATAATAACTGTTAGCAAATGTAAACTAATTCAAAAAAAAACATTTGAAGCAAAAATTTAATCATTACAACCAAATAAATCATCAGCATCCTTCTGTGAAAGTTCTATTTGATGTTGAGATGATTGCTGAAATGATGAAGAACCTGCTTCAGGTTCATACTCAGGTGATGGGTCATACTGAGGTGACGCTTGTCATGAAGAACCATGATTCTCATTGTTTAGCATCGATTCAGCTGTTTTATATAATGGATCACTATTACTAAAATCGTTTTATATTAAAAAATAATTAATTAATTACTATTAATAAAGCATATACAATTAATAATGGCACTTATAAGATATCTTTCAATATAATATATAAGACATTTTTCTGAACATGTGACACTTCTGAACTTGGGATTAAGTAAAATATTACAGACTGCGAGTGTAAAAGCACAATGCTCATTTGAGATTATAGGTACAGCAACCTCGGAAAAGTCTGTTCTTACAATTATTGATACCCAAAAGACACCTTCCTCGTTCATTTCAAAGAGCATATGATAACAATCCAAAACTTCTTCACTTTGCTTCCAACTTACTATATCAGCTGGTGCAGTATTTTTTTTTAATGATGGTAGTCTTTCACAACCAAACATGCACCAGACTGCTGCCCTTACGTTTTGAACTGATGCACCTCACAGGTTCTTTATTTTTTGCAAAAGCTATTGTAAAAATTAGTAAATAAGTCATAATTAAAAGAAATATATTTTAAAAAATGATAGATATTGATACATATGAGGCTGAACTATTTACCATGAAACCTATTGGTATATTGATTAGAACTTAAACTATGTATAAACTCAGGATACCTTTCTTCAAGGCATTGTTTAAGCACATCCTTCAAATTATTTTGACTAGGATATATGTTATACAGGAAAAGCTGCTTTGCTACACAGTTAAACATGTCCTATATATATTTTTAAAAAACAATATATGTATTATATACTAGATGCTATATACCACTTAAATATGCTAGATCCTAAATGCTATATACTGCTTAAACATGCTAAATCTAAATTGTTGCTAACTCAAAACACTTATATCTATTACTTGTGCAGAGAGATTATTCTCTTGTTCTTTTTGATGCCTTTTCAGATGACCTAGCCTGGCTTTAATTTTATTTGTACTTTCCTCAAGTCTTTTGAGCATTAAATATAAATGCTTAAGTTGGGTAAACATTTAGTCATCAACTTGCTGATAATACTGATAGCGGTTATAGCAGTTATAGTGGTCATGGCAGTCAGGGCGATCAGGATAGTTAGGGTGATCAGAGTGATCAGAGCGATTAGGGTGGTTGTAGTTTGCTTAATGTACACAATAAAAATAAATAAAAAAAAAATAAAATTTTCCAAAAAAAAAAAATTAACAACAAATGTTAAAAAAGAAGCCTTTATATATATACTACTTTGACTATATGCACGATTTTAATTGGATGATCTATCACGTGTTGGTGATCTCTTTTATGATTGTAATCTTGAAGAAGGTTGTTGAGCTGAAGATATTGATCAATTATAATCAGTATGGTGTGATCTAGAATGATATCTAGATTCAGGGTAGGAAGTAGGTTCATTTTAAGAGATGAAGAAAGGCTGGTGAGATAAGAAACAGGTAGTAAATAGTTGGCGTGATTGATGTCGAGATACTTGTGAGGAAGATCTGCCTATATTTGAATACATTTATTGAATACTTCTAATGCTTCTAGTGGTTGAATCAGAAGATGAATCATTATTATTAGGGTTAGATGATTGATAAGGTTCAGTGATATTGTTAGTATTTAATAGTCAAGAGAGATTTGATCAGAAATGAGTAATAGGTGCAGTAGAGTATAATGGTGGTGGTGTACTATTTCTAGGTTGGTTTTTTATTATATTAAAAATTCTTTTATTGTTATCTTTTAGTTAAACTTGTATTTATATTTTTTAAATCTATTACACAAGAAAAAAACAAATTAATATCTAATGATGTTAACCACTTATGTTAAAAGAAAATACAATAACACAAGAATACTTATTATATAAAATTTAAATATAAAGTATAATAACACAAGTACACTTATATTTATACTAAAATTTATTCATGTTATTAAATATAAAGTATAATAACAATTTCTGAAGATACAATACGTAAACAATATTATTGCTGAGATTTATTAATATTAATAGCATCATCAACTTAATTTTTATACATAATAGTTAGACATATAATAAATTTCGGTCATCCAAAGTGTCATTATTGATGCATATTTATTGCGATCAAAGAACTTAAAATAATAATATATTTA